TGCTGGGCAGGCAAGTTCCTGGTCCCCAGGGACACTGGGCTAATGATTCTTGCTTTGCTGGGCTGCTGAAGATCAATATCCGTCCTTCTTTCCTTCCTTTATCAAGTGACAGTTCTAGGTAGGCGCAGTGGCTCATGCCTATAATACTAGCACTCTGGGAGGCTGAAGCAGGTGGATTGCTTGAGCTCAGGAGTTCGAGACCAGCCTGGGCAAGAGTTAAGACCCCATCTCTAAATATAGCGGTGCTTTGTGGTAGGCATCTGTAGTCCCAGCAACTTAGGAGGCTGAGAGGCAAGAGGATGATTTGAGCCAAAGTTTGAGGTTGCTGTGAGTTATGACACTACAGCACTCTACCCAAGGCAACAGAGAGACTGTCTCAAACAAACAAACAAACAAACAAAAATGACAGCTCTGTGCTGGGCCATATCCCAGGCCCAGGATACAAGGGAAGGAGATAATGTCCCTGCCAGGCCTGAAGGGTTTCATAGTCTACTCCAGCAAAACTCCAAACCCAACCCATTCAGGGCAGTGTCACCAAGTGACTCAGCCTCTGGCAAAGGGATTGGTCCTTAGGGTTTCTTCCTCTCACCACGTTTTTCTGTCCCTAAATCCTATCCCAGTAAGTGCAGGGGCATAACGTCTTTATTGGTTGATTTAAGGAGGAAGACTATAGGACAAAAAAAGATTTTTTTAATAATAAAACTTAATGTATATAAATACAGTATATAACACGTGTTACAGTTATTTTATGTAAAGAATATAAACACTACAAAAAGGAGAAACATCTTATGAAGGTGCAAAGTAAAAAACAAAAGCCTATTTCTGCACCCTGCTCCCGGCACATCTGCCTCAGCCCACATCCCAGCTCCCCCGTGTCTGCGCCCACATCCTTCCTCCCAGCGTCCACACTTCTTCCTCCTGCTGTCTTGTTCCCTGCACTCTGAGTGGTCTGGTCACAGTGACTGCCCTCTTCCGCCAGCTTGGCTGTGTCCCTGGAATTGGAATTTTCTATCCTGTCCTCAGACTTTGCTCCTCTCTCCATACCCTGGGAGGCCTCTTTGGTTTCCTTATACCCACATGTGAGGCCTTCGTTTTAGAAAGCCCAAATTAAAAATGTAAGAATAATAATAATGTCCCTACTGGCCCATGGCTTGAAAACATCTTCATGCACTTTCTAAAACAACTCCCTTCCAGTTACTCATCTGTCGTGCTCTTTCTTTTAGATAATGAGAACATTAGATGCAACAGAAGGCTATTAATCTCAGACCAAGAGATTTAAAATTGATAGTAACAGGAATTTGCACCAGGCTGACGGCTACCTTTATACTTTCAATAAGCAACCCGGTTAAAAAGGAAGAATGAGTAGTGAAACCAGATTTTGAGGAAGAGGGGGTTATTTTCAAGCAGGGCCTGCAGCTGCCTGTAGGACAAGTCTTTGATGTCCCTTGTTAACCAGTAGACTGTGCTCTTCAAGTGTTTTGAAAATGATGTAACATCCTTCCTTTCTAGTATGACACTTTCATGAATTTGAGTTGTTTTTCCCTCTGTTAGGTCAAATTAATTGTTACTTGTAATTATTATTTGAAGCATTAAAAAATCATCCATCCAGGCTCGGCGCCCATAGCTCAGTGGTTACTGTGCAGGCCACATATATCAGGGCTGGCGGGTTCCAACCCAGCGTGGGTCTGCCAAACAACAATGACAACTACAACAAAAAATAGCCAGGCATTGTGGTGGTCATCTTTAGTCCCAGCTACTTGGGAGACTGAGGCAAGAGAATCGCGTAAGACCCAAGAGTTAGAGGTTGCTATAAACTGTGACACCACAGCACTCTACGTAGGGCGACATTATTGAGAGACTCTGTCTCAAGGAAAAAAAAAATCCATCCAGTCTCTGCCATGAGTTGGACTATGCTAAGCACCTTGTCTCATTAGTTGTGTTATAACCTGTAACCAGCCCAGGTGTCTTCTACTCCTTCTGTGTCACATGCTGGGAAAATCCCTTGAAGCCCCCTCCCCATTACCCCTGATGCTGATCTGGGCCAGCTGGCCACTCTGCCAGCTGGGCTATATGGGTGGTCCTGCCCATCTCAGGAACTCGCTCAAGTACTAAATTCAGATTAAACTTGTAGCTTAGCCTTAATTTTGTTTCATAAAACCTTTTGAAATGCCAGTCATTATTATCCTATTTTAAAAGGAGAAACCAGATAAACATGGGCAGAGCCATTTCTATGCCTGCCCTGTTATCTCTGTCTGCTTTTCCAAGGCTGTGGAGACCTGCATGCTAGCCCCTGTCAGGAGGTTGTAGGCTGGAGCCATGTCTCCAGATGGGGAGATCTTTCCCCAAAAGCCCTTCTGTCCTCTTGCAGTTCTTTTCACTGTGTCTGGGGATGGCTGAGAGACGAGGTGGGTTTGAGTTCTGGTCTGTCGATGCTGAGGGAGGGGCCAGAGTAGCCTGTAGCATCCTGGGCTTATTGGGACAGGAGGAGAAAGTAGCCCCCACAGGTTCCTGCTCTGCTCCTCATTTGCTCTTGTCAGAGCTGAAGGCACTCAGGGTGAACCATTCAAGAGTCAAGAGGAGGGGGCACCAGTGGCTCACAGACCCTCTCCACTCTGATAGGCTTTCTCCCTGGACAGAAAGCATCAGGGGGCTTGATGACTCCCTGTAGTTGTCTTCCTGTTAACCTGACGCCGGCCCAGCGTTCTGATCTTTGAGGTTCAAGTTGATTGCCGAGCAAAGAGTGGAAAGAGAGCCTGAGGACCAGAGGCCTGGTTTGGCAACTGTCAGCCTGGGATAGGGTGGGGCTTGCTGGGGATGTGGAAGTTAGCAGTGATCCTGACAAATGCAGGATTGCCCCACTCCTGCATTTCCCAGCCCAGGTGTCTTCAATCCCTGGGGCAAGGAAATGGTAACAGGCTCAGAGAATCCTTCTCCACCCTAGATCAGGCTTTTCCACATGTGTAGAAGGAACCTGCAGCACCAGACCTCAGGGACTTTCCCCCCAGCCCAGACAGGAGCGGACCCCTACTTGCTGCATTTGTCAGGGACTCCTACAAAGACCTCCTGTTGACAGATTAGACATGGGGAAGGGGGTGGTTTGAGTGGCAAGGCTGACACCTGAACCCTGACAGTGAGGTGGGAGAGGAGGGTTCTTAGAAAGGCCTCTCCTTGGCTCTGCGGCCTCCCTGCATGTCCTGTGTGCTCTCTCGTCCCCTCATACAGGGTGCCCACACTGTAAGAAGGTCATTCCGCACTTTACTGCCACTGCTGACACCTTCAAAGATGACCGGAAGGTAAGGCTGCCCCTCTTCATCTCTCATCCTGCCTCCGACAGATTGCTACACCTTCCTTCCTCCCATTCAAGTCCCCTTCCCAAAATGGGCACAGGGCTGCTAAGACCTGGAAGCAGGGGGTTCCTTGGGAACAAGACAAGGCAGGATAGAGCAGGCTGGATTCATGCTGCAGAATCAGCGCACACTTAGAGGAGAGGGCTGGTAAAAGGAGTCATCTGTTTATTCTTTCGGTGTTTGAACCTTTTTACAGTAGGATTGTAGTCATGCATTACTTATATAATTGAAAATACAAATTAAAAAATTTAACGAAAGTCAACTGGAGGAGGCCAGGGTGGAGGAGAGCAAGGCTGTGTCAGTGAAATCACGTCCTGCCTACATGAAAGGCTCTGTAGCTGCCAACTGGTGAAGCATAAAATTAACAAGCTAGAGCTACAGATTGGATTAGAGTGTGGGCCGCCAGGCGCGTCCCCTAGGCAGCTCCGGCCACCGGGCAGCGGGGGCTACTTCTGGGAGAGGCTTATGGGGCAAGGGAAGACTCCTGAACTCTGAAGAGTCAGACCAACTCCCAGTCCTTGAGTCCCTTCTCATCCACAATGCACAGGGTACTGAGACAGGGTCCTGCAAAGGCTCTTCTCAGCCCTGAGACCAGGTCATAGGTTCCTCTAGCCAAGAAGATGTGGCAGAGATGGGATAGTGAGAGCTTTACAGGGACAGTGAGTCAGAGGAAGCCAGGCTAGGGACAGACCAGGGACCAGATTTCCCACTTAGACCCAGACCCCTGGATCCTCCCTAGACTTAGGGTGTCCCATCATTACTCACAAGCCCAGCTGTGCCTTTGAGATACTCTTGCCCCTGTCAGGAAGAAGTATAAGGACCAGAAACATTTTTCCTCTTCTGCCCACCATCTGTCCAGCACTGAGAAGAGTGTGGCAGGAGGGATCTTCCCATGTCCATTGCCCACACCACCTACTTGTGCCTCCCAGGTCCTGGGCACACCACAGTAGTTGCTCCTGATCTGGGGGCCCCAGGGACATCCAACACAGCCTATCCCCAGGACTGAAATAGCAGTCACTCCATGTCAACGCCTGTCACCCCCTCATCCAGAATGCTGGGTGCCCTGGGCACATAAGAAGGTGTGGCTGGTTGCCCTGGTGAGGGGTCCTATGGCATACATGGGGTCTGGGTATGCTTCCCCAGTCGTGCTGAGGAGCGAATATGGTATCAGAGAGCACGGTTCTCCCCAGGTCTCAGGGTGGCTAGGGAAACCCTGGAGGGATAGCCCGCATTAACAAGGCACCTTTCTGCACACTCACCTCGAGGCTTCCTGGGGCCTGATGCACGTCAGTACAGGGGAAGCCAGACTAGCCAGGTCTCCCATGGGGCTAAGAGCCAGCCCCTGTCCTTTCCTATTCTTCCCTGTTCCCCTTTGCTGAGTCTGAAGTCACCCTCTTCTGAGACACTGGTATACCTGCCTTTGCTTGCTTCATTGTTTTTTGTTTGTTTGTTTTTTGGGTTTTTTTTTAAGAGATTGGGTCTCACTCTGCCATCTAGGTTAGAGTGCACAGTGGCACAGTCACAGCTCATAGCAAACTCAAATTCTTGAGCTCAAGCAATTCTCATGCCTCAGCCTCCCAAGTAGTTGGGTCTATACGGCAAGATCCACCATGCTCAGCTAATTTTAAAATGTTTTGTAAAGTCAGTCTTGCTTATGTTGCCCAGGCTGGTCTCAAACTCCTCACCTAATGTGTTTCTTCCCCCTCAGCCTCCCAAAGTGCTAAGATTACAGGCATGAGCCAGCACACCTAGCCCATTGTCTTAACTTGGGCCAGTAATGTTGCTGGCCTTTTCCTGGGTTTATCCCTTCTGTCTGTCCTTACAATTTCCTTTATTCTAAGCTGAAGATCACCTGCACTCATTTTCAGGAATGTACTTCATAACCTCTCTGTCCAAGGCAGCTGGCCCCCCTGGGGTCCTTGAGGGTAACACTCATAATATCTGGGAAGCTTGGGGTGAAGTTACTGGTGCCTATTCAGTGCTGCAGGTATGGTGCTACAACTACTGAGTGCCACCCCACAGATACCATAGTCTCTGGGGGACGGACCTAGAAATCTCTGGTTTTTAAGAGCTGGCTCTTGTGCTGGCCATAGGCTAGTGTGTGAGGAACTGCTGACCTGTCTTCCCCTCTCCCTTTATTCATGGGGGATCAATGCCCATAAAGCTGTGTCCCTGGCCCAGGGATGCTCAGCAGGACATTGACAGCCAGAACTGGATCTCCTGACTTCCAGTTCTTCTTGACACCCCTTACTTAGATCCTTTAGCTGGAATTGTGTCTTTTTTTTCCACCCGGAAGCTGGTCCCTGTTCCTTCCCCAATCAATATGCAGTTGGTTGTTCACTTCCATTTTCATAGCCAAAGTCAATATTAGCTCCTGCAGAGATTTATTTTACTGAATCAATAAAGCTGTGTGCAGCAGCTCATATTTTAGCTAGGGAGCCTCCACCCCCTCCCAGGAGCTCACTCGGGGACTTTATCAGTTGACACACTGGTGGGGAAAGGACTGCAAACTGTTAGTGTTGGACTGGATGGTGTTATTGAAGGGCAAGGAGGACAAGGACCCACAGTGGGCTGGCAAGGTGGGGCTTGCCTCTCACTGCACATCAGTGTCCCAGCCTGGGGAAAGGGGTGAGCCCAGGACTGCTGCCCTTGGCTGCATGAAGGTCATCCCTCCTTTGTGATTGGTCCATGTCACACCTAGAATCCAGCAATTGTGTAGGTCCTCGTATGTCCAAGGCTGGCTATTGCCCATCAGAAGTGAAACCTCCTCATTTGTCCTTGAATTCCCCACAGTCTTGACACCTTAGAACTCCATACACCTGACTGAATGAAGGAACAATAACCTATTTGATATTTACCGAGAGCTGTTCTTTCTCTGAAAGCATCATGTCATCTTGTCTTCACAATATCTTACTCAAGCAGGAGCCATTACAGTCCTCATTTTTCAGATGAGGAGAGATTGAGTCTTAGATTAAAGTACTGACCCAGAGTTCCTCAGCTGGAAAGGTCAGAGTCATAATCAAGTTTAAGGCTGGGAGTTGTGGCTCATACCTGTAATCCTAGCACTCTGGGAGGCCAAGGTGGTAGGATTGCTTGAGCTCAGGAGTTCAAGACCAGCCTGAGAAAAGCAAGACCCTTCTCCTATCTCTGCTAAAAATAGAAAAATTAGCCAGGCATTGTGGTGGATGCCTGCAGTCCCAGCTCCTCAGGAGGCTGAGGTAGGAGAATTGCTTGAACGTAGGAGTTTTAGGTTGCTGTGAGCTAGGGTGAGGCCATGGCACTCTGTCCTGGACAACAGAGCAAGACTCTCTCTCCAAAAAAAAAAAGAATTAAGTTTGGGCTCTCCCAGAAGCAGACTCTGCACCTGGGCTCATGTGCAGGGGATTTATTTGGTCTCAAGAAGCACCAGAAGGGATAGAGAAAGTGATGTGGGATAGGGCAGAACCATATCATTCGTGTTGTAGGTAGATGGGACTCTGGCCCATGGGAGACTTCACCAGGAAATGTTCCACAGAGTTGTTCCACTTCATGGTCAAGGAAGTCTGGCCTTATGTCCAGTTCCTTGCGGCTGGGAGGAAGGTCTCAGGCTGACAGTTGCAGGTGCTGGGACATGGCAGGGCACTGACTGCATGTGTCCCAGAGACCTGTACCATCCACCATAGGACAAATCTAGAAGTCATGAGTTCTCATTCTGTGCTGCAAGTGATTGGTGCAGATCTTGAGTTAAATATCAGGAGGGAGGCCTTTAGACAGATGAGTTGGAATGACTCAGAAGAGGTTTATTTGCTGCCTTCTTTCCAAATAGTCTAAGCCACTTCCTTTGAGAGGGTTGCACTTGTCTCTTCTGTGGAAGTGCAGTGTGGATTTGCCTTTGCACATAGAAGCTGCATTCTGTGTATGTGGCTGGCAGTTAGTTTAGGTGATTCAGAATAAGTACACATTTTTAATTTAGTAGATTTATAAAATCATATACTATGTTTCCAACAGCTCCAGGGCATGTATACAAATTAAATTCATAATTTAAAGAGGATGCAGGGAGAGCAGCAGCCTGGAGCAATCTCATCCAGCACTTTCACAGTGTAGTGGAGGCACAGCAGCCTTGGCCCAGGATGGATGCAGACAGCCCGCAAATGCCGGCCGGGTGAAGGAAGACTGCATGTCCCCTGGGCCCAGCCCCACAGCACCTGCCCTGAGACATGGAAACTGCACGCATCCAGAGGAGCATCTGCCTCATGTTTCTTAATAATTCACAAAGTGTGGGCAGCGCCTGTGGCTCAAAGGAGGAGAGCGCCAGCCCCATATGCCGGAGGTGGCGGGTTCAGACCCAGCCCAGGCCAAAAACTGCAAAAAAAATAATAATTCACAAAGTGCTTTAGAGGGTGAGCTGGGGTTCTCAGAAGCCTGTAAGGGCCAGCCTAGCAGCCCAGGTGAATTGGGCTCCACGTGGACCCTGGCAAAGGGCACCTTTAGCCAGCTTGAAGGAAGATAGCTGCCTCTGTGCCCCAGCTATTTGTTGCCTACAGGAGGCAGGGTAAGTGCCATCAAGTCTTCTGACTTTTAAAGAGAAGCTGGAAAGCCAAATTTTTATATTAAATCTTTTGGCTCCTTTTCTATGTTGGCAGCTAATTCAGATTTATTTTCTCGTTAAATTCTATGTGGGCCAAATAGAACAGGACTGAGAGCCAGATATGGATTGTGTGCAGTGAGTTTGTAAACTCGGCTCTGCAAAGTCTTGCTGTATAGAACCTTAAAGAGCTGAAGATCAGAAGGCAAGTGTGAGGGTAGAGGAGGGCGAGTGTGACCCATTGGTGGCTCAGGGAGGTTGCACTTCCTCTTCACTCTGGCTGTCATTCCTGCAGCTCATGTGGGCACCAGGTAAGTGATCAGCAAAGGTGGCCATTGGGGGCCTACAGGGCTCCTACCTAGAAAGGGGGAATCTGTCCAAGTGTGTATAACAAGCAGCCAAAGAACTGTGTGAATCATGGTTATTCAACAATTTTAAATTATCTTACTGAATCACCCTCTTTTAATTTCTTCCAAGCATTCATTGGGCTCTATCTAAAATGATCTCACTTGTTATGTGGCAGTTGCTTGATGACTGGACTTTGTCAAGGTCACCTTTGTCCCCCTAACATCCAGAATACCCTCAGCGCACAGCAGGCAGGGCTTCAGTAAGCGTTGCCTGATGACAAGGCTTGGCTCTCATCAGATCTGCCCTTCCCCTTCCCCCTTTCATAACACTTCTTATTACCACTGATGGATCCCCTCTCCTTCTCACCTGGCTTGTGACCCCCAACAGGAGAAACATTCTGCTTTATACCCTCTTATTTTGAAAGAGCAATAAGTGGTGAGGAAAAGCTATCCAGCATGTGGAATTTGTTAGATTTGCAAGGAGAAGGCCAATTTGAGAACCTCTTTCTGAACAAAAACTGTGATTACTTTAGTCACGCCGAGCTCCTTCCCAGTTTCTGAAACGTGCTCTCCCCTGGCTTTCTCCTCCTCATCCTCTGGGCTTCGTCTCAGATAGCTAGTCATGCAGAGTGCCCTTGCTCCACTCACCCAGGTTCCCTGGGCACCCCGGACCACCCCCCTGTGCCTCATGTCACGCCGTTTGGATGGTCTCTATATCCTACTTTCTGCTGGGACAAAGCTTGTGCGTGGGTTTGGAAGGGGTGATGATAGTAGCAGCTGCCATTTACTGACCACTGGTCCTGTGCCACGCCTGTGCTGATTGGCCTCACCTGAATTCTCTTACTCAGTGTTCATGTTATCCCGATCACCTACATGTTGTTATGATCCCCATTTTACAGCTGAGGGAAATTAGGCACTGAGACGCTGGGTCATCTTCTAAGTCTTTTTTATTTTTCTCAGAATGTATCTTCTTTATATTTTTCATTAGATCATAACTGCGTGCATTACTGCATTTATGGGGTACAGTGTGCTGATTTTATATACAAAGTCTTAATCATATAGGCAAGCCAAGATTGCACTTGAGAAATTTGACTTCTCAGCTCTTGATCTAGTCCACGGTACTACACTGCCCCCCAATGCAGGTGTTTGGGAAATATTAGTTGACAAACAAACGAATACCGCAGAGCCTCACAGAAGGCTCCTAACCCATCTGCCTTAGAAATTAAAAACAAGCACCGTGAGTCTCAAAGGAGTTTTGAGCTGGGGATGCTTTGGTTCCACTCATCCCTGCTCCTGGGGAGAAGAATGAAAGTGAGCTCCTAATGTGGGCCAGGTGTGCAGTCCGTGTATCGAGGGATCCAGGCCACAGCCTGGGGATGCCCATGCTGACCCTCCCTCACGTTGCCCCCTAGATTGCCTGTGCTGCTGTTGACTGCGTCAAAGACCAGAACCAAGAACTGTGTCAGCAGGAGGCCGTCAAGGCCTACCCCACTTTCCACTACTACCACTATGGGAAGTTTGTAGAAAAGTACGACAGTGACCGCACGGTAAGTAGGGGAGAGGTGTCTGCCCAGAGCCCACTCTGCTGATAGGCAGGGAAATGGTCATGAGGAGAGGCAGCCCAGGCCAGCTTCCCAGAGTCCACAGAAGTCAGCTGGAACACCGCACTGATAGTCCCAGGGCCCTCCGTCTAGAGAGGCTCAACCCAGGGGTTGTCACAGAAGTCTTGGCCCCGTAGCCAGGTTGCCTCATTTGCTTCTCAGGGCTGGCCTGGGAAGCCCAGCAGACCCACGCATTGCAGCAATCTGCCCTCCTCCCTCCGTGCCAGGAGTGAGCATTTGGGGGGTGGGGGGTGATAATGCACATTTGGCTCAGGGGTTAATGTTCCTTGTTTTTCCTCCTCTCTCTCCCTTCCCTGCAGGAATTGGGATTTGCCAATTTTATCCGAACCCTCCGGGAGGGAGACCATGAAAGACTCGGGAAAAAGAAGGAAGAGTTGTAATTGCTGCCTCAGAGAAAGCTTTTCCATTACACTGTGAATGATACCTGTTTTGTTGTTCTTTCTGAATTTCCACGTGTTCCAAACAGAGTTTTTTATAGCCGCTTGTGGCCATTTTGTACACTTTTGAAATAAAAGTAAACCCTTTATTGGGTGGTGTGGTTTATTTTCACAGAGCCTGTGCTACGAGGGAGGACACTCACGTTCTCCCCCATCTGTGGGGGAGGGCAGACTGCAACATGCCTCCTCTTCAGGGTGGTGCTCAGGGCCCCTTCTGTGCCTGTGGGTCTGGCTGGCCCTTGTCAGTCGTCTGAGACCAGAACAGGGAATGGGACCATGGACTATCCTGTTGGAAAATGACAGGCTGTGGAGAGGAACTGTATTAAGATGATCAGGGAAGCAGGGATGCTGAAGCAAACGATAGCAGCATTAACGTTTTCTGGATCCTCGTTCTTTCAGTTTGGGTATGTTTTCCACAAAACTTATTTACATATTTCTCTTCTCTAACTATTTCTGTCTTCTCTTCCTCTCCATTCCCTCTCTGCTCTCCCTTTAAAGAAAATTAAGTTGCTACTTCGGGGGTGGGGGGGATGAGGGCCTCTGTGTTGGCTGCTGGCTGAGCCCACTGCCTGGAAGGGAGGGCAGATTCTCAGTGTGCAGCCTTAGATTCGTTACCCAGCCCCCTCCCCCGGCCAGATAACCTCAGACCTGTTATGCTTCTGCGGATGGCGGCTGCGGCCTATGTACATCTCTCCCCAGACCACCTTCCCTGCTGGTCCTCCTGCCTTCGGTATCCTAGCATGACCACCCTGCATCCAGCAGTGCAGCCAGAGCCCCAGCACACTGTGTCATGCTTTGGCTGCTCAGTGGCATTTTTCCACAGGCCATAGAGCAAACTTGCTCTGCATATTTTAACTTCAGTCAGAAGTAGCAGTCCTAGACTTGGATTCCTCAAGCAGCTGGGAGAGTGAGTCCCCTAAGCTGCTGTACCTAGGGCACATGTTGGTGGCCTTATTTCAGCCCTCCTTTCCTGGACAGTTCCCTACCTCCTCGCTCAGTCCTCCCTGCTGGCAGATGTGCTGAAAAGGGTGGAGCCTCAGAGTTCCTCATTGGCCGTGCGACTGTGGTGCCACTATCCTCAGCTCCCTCTCTCAAGCAGTCAAGGCTTTGAGAGCCCTTGTTCTGTGCAATTCTCCAGATTACCCACTTGCCAGCTCAGGGTTTTCCCCTAATTACCCACTTCCTTGGTCATACTTTCCCCAGGAGATAGATATAGAGGAAAGAAGCATAAATTTAAACACCACTTAAAGACATTTGCAGAGGCCCTTACACCTGGGGAACCATACCTAGTCATATTGGGAGTCATTTAATCCTGATATGGTTATTATGCAGCCATTCAGGCAAGGGGCCCTTGAGAGCATGTATGTGTATGGACGTGGGTTTCCTCAATGATTATATATAGGGGAACACATGTGTTTATGTCTCCAAAAAAAGTTATTAGTGAGTTTTTACTGCACTACTTTCTAACTAAGGACACTGGTGCCCACCTTCAAGTCTTTCTTTTTTCCGTTTCACAGCCTCAAAGTTCTGATTTTCCCAGCCTAATTTCTGTGTGAGGACTTGAAAATAGCAAAAATGTTGTCAAATATAAATTTAAAAATTAACTTAAAAATTCATGGAGTGGCCTCAGTGAGTAGGACGCCAGCCACATACACTGATGCTGGCAGGTTCAAGCTTGGCCCAAGCCTGCTAAACAACAATAACAACTCCAACCAAAACATAGCCAGGTGTGCTATGGTGGGCACCTGCAGTTCAGTGGTTAGGGTGCCAACCACATACACCTAGGCTGGAGGGTTTGAACCTAGCCCAGGCCTGCTAAAGAACAATGGCAACTCCAACTAAAAAATAGCCAAGCATTGTGGTGGGCACCTCAATGGTGGTGCTACTCAGGAGGCTGAGGCAAGAGAATTGCTTAGGTCCAAGAGTTTGAGGTTACCGTGAACTGTGATGCCATGGCACTCTATGGAGGGTGACATAGTGAGAGTCTGTCTCAAAAAAAAAAAAATTCATGGAGTTGTATCCTCTTAACTTTCTCCCTTGTCATTGACTTTGGACACGAAAGAGCAAGTTCATCCCAACCCTGGGCAACTTTGCAGACAGGGCCCTCTTCCTCCTCTCCCCCCAACTAAAACACAAACACATGTGTCTAGATTCTGCAGCCCTGTGCACATCAAATCATTGCTGTGGCATCTGGGTTGGTTCTGTTCTCAATCACCCATTTGGATCTTTGGGGGTTCAGTGATGTTCAGTGCAGACTCCCTCCCCCATGAGAGGTCCTGCTGTCACTCCCCTCTGTTCCCCTGGATTCTGTTTCTGCAAGAAGTATATGAGTTAGAGGAGAACTCATCTTCATCTTCATTCTGGTGGATTAGCTTTAACCTTGGCCTCTATTGCTCTTCTTTGGGCTACTGCTTCTGTTTTAGCTCCACAAGTGTCCACCTTCAGCTGCCAGCTTGATCCTGTATCCCTCCACTTATTGCCCACCAGCAATTCCCATCACCACCTAACTGGAGATTTTAGACCTAACCCCCAGATCTTCTTGCCTTCCTCATCCATCCAACTTGTATTTTCCAACCTTTCCTGAAGGATACAATCAAAGACAATGTCAAATGTTTTGTTGAGGTGTGGATATACCATACCTGCCACACTTCTCTGGTGGACAAATCTAGTAACCCTATGAAAGAATAATTGCTCTGTACCTGTGCATAGCGCAGCTTGCATGCAACTTGGATGCATTTTAAATCCCACTTTATTTAATGTTCTTACAACCTGATGCTGTTGAGGCAAGGAGGCTGAGGCTCAGAGAGTTAGGTAACTTGCAGAGCTTAAATGCTATACTGGTCCTCCCACCTGCTCAGGGTTCCATCCTTTTCCCCATGACCAACAAGATTTTGAATAGGTAATGCTTCCTTCTAGTGATGATTGCTTCCTTTTCATCCCCCCTACTAATCATTATTTTAATAACCAGGATAGGACAGGCCTGGTGGCTCACACTTGGCTCCCAGCTACTCCAGACACCAAGGCAGGAAGATTGCTCAAGGTCAGGAGTTTGAGACTAGCCTGAGAAGGAGCGAGACCCCATCTCCACTAAAAATAGCTGTGTGTGGTGGCATGTGACTGTAGTCCCAGCTACTTGGGAGGCAGAGGCAAGAGGATCGCTTGAGCCCAGGAGTTTGAGGTTGCTGTGAGCTATGATGATGCCACTGCACTCTAGCCTAGGCAACAGACTGGAACTATCTCATCAAAAAATAAATAAAGAAGCAAAAACCAGAATAATGCCTGCTATATATATGTTGTCTTCCCTTTCCTTGACTGTGATTTAGCTGTTTCTCATATTCCTTCAGGACACTAGGTAAGATTTGTTTGAGCAAAAAAACTTTAAATTATTTAAAGCAAGCAAATGCTTTCCTTTAAACTCTCACCCAATTTTGACTTTTTAAAATGTATATTTATTCTGCACATCTTCTCTGTAAAACTAATAATAAATACCTACATGTATATTAAGTGTGTTGTACGGATAGTCCCTGACTTAAATAATATTTTTAATTTATGATGGATTTATGAGGGTATTAAGTTTATTTTTGACTTAACGACTTACCATGGGTTTATTAGGACCTAGCCCCATCTATAGTCAAGGAATAGCTGTATATAAAATCTGTATTTTTATATATGTGGGAGTGTGTATACAATCTTGTGCCATACAGTGATGTTTGAGTCACTAATAGACAGCATATACAATAATGGTCTCATAAGATTATAATACTGTATTCTTACTGTACCTTTTCTATATTTAGATACATTTAGACACACAAATACTTGCCAGCATACTATACCGTAACATGCTGTCCGGGTTTCAGGATAGGCTGTACCATATAGCCTGGGTGTGCCATAGGCTGGACCGCCTCCATGATGTTTGTGTAACCATCATAGACCACCTGGGTGTGCCATAGGCTGGACCACCTCCATGATGTTCACATGACAAAATCAAAGCACCTAACAACATGTTTCTCAGAATATATCTTTGTCTTGGACTCGTGACTATATGTATGCATATATGTGTGCATACACACACAGGCATGCACACACACACACTCAGTAGAACCTCTGTAAGTCGACCAGCCAAGGGACTGCAACAAACTGGTCAATATATGGAGGTGGTCAACATAAAGAACCAGATCTACTGTACTGATACGTACATGTGGTGCATGTCCAGTTGATGAAAATTAGGTCAACTTAAGAAGGTGGTCAACTATGGAGGTTCTGCTGTATAAACATATACACACACACACATATATAAACAATTCCAGGCTCCAGAAATAACTATGGTCAATCTTGGTGTATATTCTCCCTAATCTTTTAACCTTTCTTCAAACCTCTTAACCTTTTTTTGTTTGTTTATAAGCAAATATAGATGTGAGAACGTGTATATGTGTGTGTATATATAGATTCAGACATGTTTTTCATTCTAAGATTACATAAAAACTTGGTTGTGTTTTTCTCAGTATTTAAAAATGTCTCTCAAATTTATTGTCATGTAAGAAATGAGGCTGGTGGGGCGGTGCCTATGGCTCAGAGGAGTAGGGCACCGGCCCCATATGCCGGAGGTGGTGGGTTCAAACCCAGGCCTAGCCAAAAACTGCAAAGAAAAAAAAAAAAAGAAATGAGGCTGGAATCTATCCTTTTATTCTTCAGGCTAGCTAGCCACTTGCCCCAATACCATTTTGAATAAGCATGTCCCTACTGAAATGCTACCTTTAGTATACACTAAAGTTCAAAATGTGTTAGGATGCTACACTTTCCACTCTGTTCCACTAATCTATTCCCATTTAAATTACCTTTTTTTTTTTTTTTTTACTTTTAGAGTTTTCCTGGCTGTTTCAAGTACGTATTTTTGGTTAAACTTTCTGTCTTGGATTTTAGTTCTTTCTAACCAAAGATCATTTTATTCTTTCAGTACAAGGATCATTCTCTTTGACAGAGTAAACATAAAGAACAATTATGAAGTTCCTCTTTCTTTTCTTATCCATCAACATTAAGTATTGGGTCCAAGGAGGGAGTCAAGATCTCCCTCCTTTTCTGAACCTTGTAC